CTCTGTCTTACTAATAATAGCAAGCAACTGCTGAGAGGATTTGCGCTGGGGAGGGACACAAACCCAAATAATTGACATTTGTGGCATAAAGGTGAAGAAAAGGTGCTGAATTCCTGTATTTTATGCAGAAGCCTACGTGCACCAATCTGGGCTTACTTCTAAGGAGGAGTGAGGGCTGCTCTGGGAAAAGGCTGCTGTGGCTGCACAGGTTTTATACTTTCAGTTTGCCTCACTCACCCCTTTTTGCTTCCCACGGGGAAGAGACTGCTTTGAGATGCTCTGCATTGTCTGTCAGAAAGAACGAAGTTTCTAATTACTCTCTATGTATAGTCTTGGAGGGAATGTGAAATATGCATCAAAGAGCCAAGGAATGCACCAATCTTTATTCTCACGCTCTATCTCAGATGGAACAAGTGACGGTGCCTCAGTCAGGCTGGATGGTCTTCTTAGCCTAGGAAGAGGGTTTTTCTGAGCTTTTCTACGATCCCCTCCAGTTGTTGCTGGTTTTCATTTTCTCTTCCTTTCTGTTTTTTTCTTTCTTCTTTTAGAGATGGGAATTCACTGTGTCACCGAGGCTGGAATGCAGTGGACTAATCATAGCTCACTGCAGCCTTGAACTTCTGGGCTCAAGCAGTCCTTGCACCTCAGTCTCACAAGTAGCTGGGACTATAGGTGCGCACCACTGCACCTAGCTAATTCGAAAAAAAGAAATTTCAGAGATTGGTCTTGCTATGTTGCCTGTGCCGATCTAGAACTCTGGGCCTCAAACAATCCTCCCACTTACAGGCTGAGCACTGTGTCAGCTTTTCTTCTTTTACTTCTCCTTTGGTGGTTGCATGCAATTTTGGGAATGGGTTAGGCACAGAGGCTAAATCTCTTATTTAGGAAGTTAAAAAAAAAAAAGACTTTTGGACCAGTTTGATTAACGGTGGGGTGCAGAAATGATGTTCCAGATGAATTTGTGCTGGATTCTATAGGCTGGAAAGAGTTAGTCCTGACAGGACTGGAAAGGGTTGGTTCTGAGCAGCCACGTGAGCTAAACCACTCTTTGTTTTCTAAAGGGGAGCGGGCACTATTAATGTACATGCACGAGTACAGGGCTTCAGATTTTGTTGTGCTTCTGAGGTCTCTTAAGAAAATTTCCCCATTAAACTGTCATCCTTATCTATGTCTACAAATGTGTAATGGATGGGTTCTTGCCTTTTGAATTTATTTGCCTGGATTGCTAGGGATAATCTTTAAGAAGGTGGATGTGATTGCATTAGGTACCTTGTTTGCCTTTCTCACTGTTAACTCCAGTGCCTTGGATTGTGCCTGGAAAGTAGTAGGTATTCAGTAAATATTTACTGAATGAATGAATGAATGGAAGAAGGCAGGAAAGAGAAAAGAGAACTATTGAATGCCTCCTCTATGTCTGCTACTATGTGTGGTATGTAAAAATTATATGTGGCAATTGGAAGACATTGGTATCATGACAAAAGTGCTTTTTACATCTCTCTTTCCATCTTTCTCAGCCACCCCGTAGCAGTACTCTCCTTTTGTGACTTCCTTGACATCACTTTTGCCTGGATTTCCTCTTACCTCATTGACTGTTTTCGTTCCTCTGCTCTGCTTGTAAACGTTGGCATGCCTTGGCACTTGGTCTTGGGTCCACTCCTTGATTTTTGCATTTTCTTCCTGGATGATCTCATCTAGTAATAGCTTTAGGTACCAGCTTTATTCATTAATTTTCCAATCTTTATCTCTAATCCTGAGCTTCTGAGCTCCAGACTCAGATATCTACTTGTGTACCCGATAGTTCCTTTTTCATGTGTAATAAGCATCTTACTCTTCAAGTGGCTAAACAGAACTCTTGATTTTTTTCCCCAACAACCTGTTTCTCCCATAGCCTTCCCTTGGCTCCTGCAATAATTTCTTAATTTTTCTTGTCCCCATACTGTCCATTTTTCACGTGGCAGCCAGGGTGATCTTTTAAAAATGAAAAACAGTTCAAGTCACTCTCCATTTTACAACTCTTCAGTGGCTCCCATAACACCTAAAATTCTGACTTTTTACCCTGGTTTCATGGCCCCAACCAGTGTCATCTGCTAAAGCTGACCTCCTGGCCCAGTCCAGCCATGCTAACTTTGTTTCTGTTCCTGGAACATCCTAAACTTGTCTTCACCTTAGAGCATTTGCTTTTGCTGTTCCCTTTGCTTGGAACACGTTACCTGCAAATATTCACAGTGCTGATTCCTTCCTGTCGTTTTGGTCTCTGCTCATTTGTCCTCCAGAAGGCTCATGTGAACCACCCTATGCCAAGCAGTCCCTGCCTCATTTTATTCTCCACAAAGCACTTAATGCTATTTGAGATTACTTTGTTCATCAATTCATTATTAATTTCTTAGGAACTTCATCTCTCTGATTCACAGATATATTTCCCTCTTTCTGAAGAGTATGAGGAACATAGCAGGCACTAAACAAATATTTACTGAATCAGTGGATATACTGTATTATTTAATCTTCATGGGAACCACAGGCTTAGAGAAGTTGGTAAAGGTCTTGACTTCTCAATTCTTTTTTTCTTTTTTTTTGAGACAGAGTCTCACTCTGTCATCCAGGCTGGAGTGCAGTGGCACAATCTTGGCTCACTGCAACCTCTGCCTCTCAAGTTTAATTTATTCTCCTGCCTCAATCCCCTGAGTAGCTGGGATTACAGGCATGTGCCCCCGTGCCTGGCTAATTTTTGTATTTTTAGTAGAGACGGGGTTTCACCATATTAGCCAGGCTGGTCTCTAACTCCTGACCTCAAGTGATCCGCCTGCCTTGGCCTCTTGAGGGATTATAGGTGCTGGGATTACAGGTGTGAATCCCCATGCCTGGCCTCAGATCTTCAAGGAATTTTCTCTCCCACTAAAATCTTGATGGCTGATCCATATCCTGCTTGCGTTCAGTTTTCTATTTTTAATTTGAGTATAGAGAAGGGAAAAGATGTGTTCTCACTATGTGCTATTATACACAAGGCCAATATTCTTGAAACAAAAAAGTCTTGCAAGTGTCCAGAGGTAATGAGTTTCTTAGTGGTGTTGTCCACCGTTGATTGGTCAGAGTAAAAAGGAAGGAAACAGAAAGGAAGGAAACTTACAGTAATTAAACATGTAGTATGTGCTGGGTCCTGCACTGTGTGCTTTTAAATCAAACACCGCATGTTCTCACTCATAGGCGGGTGTTGATCAATGAGAACACATGGACACAGGGAGGGGAGCACCACACACTGGGGTCTGTTGGGGGGAAATGGGGGAGGGACGGGGGGGTGGGGAGGTGGGAAGAGATAGCATGGGGAGAAATGACAGATACAGGCAAGGGGACGGAAGGCAGAAAACCACACTGACATGTGTGTACCTATGCAACAATCTTGCATGTTCTTCACATGTACCCCAAAACCTAAAATGCAAAAAAAAAAAAAAAAATAGATATGTTACCTACTTCAAATCTCAAAGCCATCAATGTCAAGTTGATATTATTGTGTTGGATTAATGCATGGTTGATGTTATTACCCCGGTTTTATAGATGGAAAAACTGAGGCTCAAAAAAGCTGAAAACTTTGCTCCAGGTGGCACACCTATTAAGTGGTAGAGCTAGCTTTCTTAAACTGAGGGCTTCGTGACACCAAATTTCTGACTTTTAATTTATGATTATTGCTTTGTTAGATGGATGTGCTTCTAAAATAGTAAGGACAAAAATAGGAATTCAATGCACATCCACATAGATTACAACAAATATCTAAAGCATGAGAGTAAGTTACATAGATTATATGGAAAACAGACTTACGATATTCAATGCCTGAGCTTATAATTGGATGAACAGAATACAGAATGAACATTTGGTTCTCTTGCAGGGCTCATGTACGGTATGACATAGAGCAGCTGTCCCCCGAGAAAGTTCTTTGTTTCCAGACTGGTACTACACAAGCAGCATTTGAGCAATTCAGGATTTCTTTCTGCTTTCACTATAAATAGAGCTCATGGAATTCTGTATATCAAAGTTAATGCAATGAAAAGGAGCTGCAGAGTGTGGAAATAAACCTTAACTAATTCTATAAACTAGAAGCATGTTTGGCATCAGGAGGCCCTAAAAGCGCTGTCATTCCTTGGATGGATTCTGAGGTCTTATTTAGCATATGAAATCGCAGAGTAGATCCTATTATGTAAGGAGACAGGAGGACAGCATAATGTGGTTACAAAATGAAGAACTTTGTGCCCTTCAGGGAAGAGTTAACAGGGAAGATATGCATAGAGAAAGATGTGTGATAAGAATGTGGAAAATGAATGAATGGGTGGCATGTATCTGCGTGTATTGCCGAAGCCGGGTTGCTGGATAATCCTCAGATGTCAGATTTCCGTAAGGCCAACATGTGACTCAAAGCTTGCCACTCAACAGAGAATACTGGGCTGTGCTGGTATTAAGAGGCTGGCTGGAAGCTAGGCTCCCACTGTGCACTAGCCTAACTCCCCGTCGCTCTCTGCGTGTGGGTGGGTGTGCATATGTGTGTGTGTGTGAGGGTATACATTTTATGCAGTGGGTGTTTAAAGAGCAGCTAAGCACTGAAGCTGGATTTCCACAAACGATCATCACGAGCACTCCAGACACACCAAACTTCCTCTCTTGGTATTTTTTTTTTTTTTTTTTTTTTTTTGCTTTCATCCTTTTTTTAAAAAAATTTAAAACCCCAAAGGAGAGAGCCCCCAACATCCTGCCTACAGGATTGGGATTATTTTCTCTTACTTGTCTATGTGGGTGCCCTCTCAAGGTTAGAACTGAAGCTATGTGGGACCGGCATATTCTCCAGCACCAGATGAGAGGAGCTGCGTGAAGCAGTAGCAGACACCAGAGGAAGAGTGACTCTGCCCTGCTAACATGAACAACAGCTTGCAGGTTAACCTGCCCAGAAGCTGGGCTGCTCCAAGTGGCTCGCTCCAGGAGAAGTCTGAGCATTCTTTTTTTCTTTTTTATTACTATAGGATGGAGGATGAAGCTGTCCTGGACAGAGGGGCTTCCTTCCTCAAGCATGTGTGTGATGAAGAAGAAGTAGAAGGTGAGCTTTATGGGTCTGGGAAAGTGTCTATTGACATACATATGTCTCTATAGATAATAACATTCATGCATTTCATTTTTAAACACCAAACCTTTTCTATAGGATTTCATCAATCTCTACATTTTGCTTCAGCACAGAAAGTAATTTTAAGAACTTCATTGGATCATCAGAATCTGATTCAATATGAGTCCTGCCTGGTTTAAAAAAGTCTTATTTTAAGTAGGTACCTATGCTAGCTGTGTCTCTTCATCAAAAATAAACATTTTACCAAAAATACTAACCACCTTCCAATGACTAATTCAAGAAAGCTGCTAGATTTATAGAAATATATTCAGCAGCATCTTTAATATTCTTTCTTGTAGCTTGTAGTGTAAATATACAGATATTACAGAAGGATAATGATACCATTGTTGCAGGAAAAATGGGTTTAAGCTGAAGATATTAAGAGTGGTAATCATGGATGAATGAATGTCAGTTAGGAGAAGATGGACAAGCATTTTTTATTCAAAAAACTTCAAGGATCTCTTTTGCTAATGTTTCCGAGTGCCTGTTAAAAACTTAAAGAAGAGTTATGTTTTATCTGGTACTATAATACTTTCAGTGGGTATTCCCTTTTCCTGCCTCCTGACTTATCAATAATGTGGGAAAAATGCTATTTATCTGAGAGTGAGAAGACAAAGCTGAATTAATATTTATTAAAATAATTATATGAAGGCATCACAGATACATATTAATATTTATAATGAGATTTTTAAAAACCAGGGTTATAGGCAACACTCAAAGTTAAATCAAACTTGCAGGTAAATTATGTGATCAATTCCACATTTTAAAGTCACCTGAGAAACAATTCATCTGTGTTTTGGAGACTCTGGCCTTGCTGGTGCCATATGGTAAACATTTAGTGCCAGCCCCAGACTTGAACCAGACAGTGGTGGGCTTGGGGAAAAGAGAGTCAGTATTGTATGTTCTGGAGTGATTCTTCAGGCAGACTGAACACCAGGTAATGGGCAAGTGATGCTTCTGTGCCACTTGGAACAGTTCGAATAGTGTGGCTATCATGTTGTTTCTCGTGTTTCTTTAGTAAGTTTCTTCTGCCCATGTGGTGTTAGAGGATTGGTGCCTCCACCCCCACCTCAACTTCCCGCATTTATGCTCTTGGGACTGACTAATAAGAGTTTGATGCCTACGTTTCTTAGGAAAACGGAAACTACAGTATTTTCTTTCATATTGTTTTATGGGTTCCTTGCATTTTTACAACGTGCTGTGGGAAAATGTCAAGCTGGTAAAAGCAAAATAGTAAAATTATTCTTAAGATTCTTGGAACCCATGATGTTAAATCATCATTTTAGTGACTCAGTCACTGTCCCAGTGTCAAAGAGGAGATACAAGTATTAAAGTTGTAGCAGATGGATATAAGAAATAGCGTAGCTTTGAGTAAATAGCCTATAGTTTGAAGTCAATTAAAGTAGAAAAAAGCTTGGGAGTGACATGCACTGTGTGCATGTGTTTTCCTTTGAGAATAATATTCCACCTAAGTTCACAAGAGATGTAAATCCCTTCTCAAGTTTGTGAGGTCCATAGGATTGACAGTACTCTACTGCAATAAGATATTGTATATTGTTTCTTAAGGCTTTGACTAAGAAGTATATTTCCTGAAGTATTTCCCTTGATTTTCAAGCAGAAATTTAAGATGACAACGTAAATGAATAGCACACAAATCTGTAGCCAGGTTTCTTTAAGAAGAAACAGAAAGACAACCAAAGGTGGTAGAAACATCTGTAAAATTCAAGAAATGTGTTGGTTTTGTGATAATTAAACTTGCCAAATGGATGTATGTGTTTTCCTGTTCTTATAAGTCCTCTATTTTAGTGACTGTCTTTCATGTTGATTGGTATCTGAGTTGACTACATGTCTTTCAAGACATGCTTAGATAGTTGCCTGTTGCTGAATCCTGAGCCCCGCAGTAGGATTACTTATGGGTTATTTCCTGGGTAACTTTCAACAGTGCTGACTGTCTTACAATATAGTCTTGAAATTATAGTTACTGTTCATTAGAAATAAACAAAATTGTTCATTTTTAATTCGGTGTTCTCTCAATTGACCCTCCCGCCTTTTCACCTTGCTTTATTGATGGGTGTGGGAGGACTTTGATTTTATAGTAGCTCTAGATGATAGTATAAAGTAGTTGAAATGGACAGGGGTTTTATGGCCTATCCATGTTTCCAGTGGTGGCCTAGGTAAGGACCTCTAAGAAGTATTCACATTTTGAGGGGAATGTTTCTTCCCAAGGGCATGAGTCAATCTCATATTCTTAATTGCATAGAAAAGAGAGTACTTGAAGAAAAGCAAACTATTATCTCTATTCTAAAGTATCTTCCTGGCACATTATGGCAGAAGTGAATGCTTCAGTTTTAAGGGTCAGAATTCAAAAGGCAAGGAGCTGGAACACTTTGCCTTTATGCTATTATTTACATTTACTTTTATGCAAGTAGTTATTTCTCTTGCTTCTAGAATAAACACAGAAGTTTACAATGTTTGTAAACATTCTTGGCAAAGTAAACTTAAAACTTTTTTTTTTTTACAGTTATCTGCATAAATAAGATGTACTCTTAATAAATGATTATTAAAGTAAGTTCTGATAGTTCTTGTTACTTCGAAATATTCATGCTTTAAAAATTCTTGGGGTTTCCTAATTTGGGGTGATTGGATTCAGCTCAGCCTGACGGCAAGAAGATTCAGATACTCTCATAGTTCCTTCGAATGCTGTGGATCTGAGGAGAGAGACTTCAAACCACGCCCTCAGTTCACCTTATTCAACTTTACTCTCAGTGGGTGGCATGACACTTAATCCACGTTCTAAAAACTTAATAGAAAACCATCAACTGCAAAACTCACTAAGAATAGAGTGAGTCAGAAGAGGAGTCATCTGTTTAAATGAATTTATCTATGTGGCATATATTTAAAGACCTAAACCTCATTGTCACATAATTTTCTTCATGTGTTAATGGCTTAAAGAGATACTCTTTCAAAATGAAACCAAGTACCAGTTTTAATCTTTAAAATAAATAGAAGCCTTTAAATCTGCTCTTCCACTGGTTGCCCTTGTACTATGTGGGGTTTTGTAAAGTTAACATTTTTGGTGGAGAGTGGTTACTGTGGATACTTATTTTAACATGTCAGTTTTTCAGATTTTCATATTTATTTCTTTGTCAAAATACTCCAGCTCCCACCCAGGCCCTTTCATGCTGCCACAGACTTGGTCTGTAGATGACAAATCAACATTACCAGAATGATCCGGAAGTGTTGACCATGAGGGACAACCACTCGCTTTTCATTTCAAACACAGATGGGGGAAATTGCTAATTACATAGGGGTGAATGAAGGTTGAGATAGGAAGAGTCCCAGGTAGCTTTTTCCAAACAGAAGAAAATCCTATGGATGTTTTATTCTTGAAAAAGCTAGCCAGGATTTTGGATCTGTATGATATAAACAGATTACTTAATAGTCTCATATTTCGCAATAGGGGAAAAGAGCAAACTCCACCTTATCCTTTGAGATAAGGCTTTGGCTCTGCAAGGCTAGGTAGCTCCCAGCAGGCCTTGGCAACTCTGACTTCATGAGGAGGGGCCTTTTTTTTTAACATCATGTTCAACCAACAGCTCAGAAAATAAAAAATGAAGTAACACAGTATTGGTTGAAATGTGTCTCCATTTGTAAGGTTTGGTTGGTACTCTCCTAAAGTGATTATGCTGTATTGTGCTGATTTTACTCTTCCATTCAAAACTTAATGCAGTAGGAAGTATGCACCCATCTGTCCCAATGGAAGAATAATTCTACAAATTCCCATGTCTACTGGTAGACATTAAGAGGGAGTGTTTTTGAAAACACATGGAATTTACAGGAGTATTTTTTTCAGGAAAAGTAAAAAAAAAAAAAATGTCAGAGTCTGGGACAGGTAGATATTCACTAATTATTTGTTAAAAGAAAGAATGAATAAACAAATATATAACATAAACTAAATAAAACATGTAGAATCACTTTGTATAATCCTGTTACATATTTAAAAATATCTTTTGTTAAAAATTTGGTTCTCAAGGCCTGATATGGTGGTTCAAACTTATAATCCTAGCACTTTGGAAGGCCAAGGTGGGAGGATCACTTGAGGACTGGAGTTCAAGAATGGCCCTGAAAACGTGGTGAAACCCCATGGCAAAACCCCATCTCTAAAGAAAAATACAAACAAAAAATAGCTGAATGTGATGGTGTGTGCCTGTAATCCCAGCTACTTGGGAGGCTGAGGTGGGAGAATTGCTTGAGCCCAGGAGATCAAGGCTATAGTGAACTGTGATTGTGCCACTACACTCCAGCTCGGGTGACAGAGTAAGGCCCTGCCTCAAAAAAAAAGAAAAGAAAAGAGAGAGAGAGAAAAAAAGAATTTTGATTATGTTAGTACTGTTATTCTAATGAAATTATATAGCCTCTCATCTTATCCTTGGTTTTACTCCTATTTGATTTTGCAGAGGTCATTGACATATCATTTATATATTTATGATGATAAGAAAAAGAAGGTCCCAAACATCTCTGCTTTATCAGACTCTTTCATTCTCCTACTATGTTTTTTGAAGAGGGAGACTAAACTGATGAAATGGTGGTTTTTGTCTTTTTGGAAGTCAAGACCTCAACATATTACAGATGTGAAATAATGACTTAAACCTATTTCTCACTAGAGGATATTAGGATGATCTACTCATGTGTATTGGAGAAGGTAGTATTTTTCTTAAAAAAGTGGGGCCTGGTAGACATTTTAAAATAATTACAATTGTATAAAACGTAATTGCCAAGAAGGAGTGAATGAAAACCTATCGGATGGGAAGGGAGGGGCAGAGTCGGCACTGGGGCTATTCTGAGCACTGGATATAAGTGTCCGGTTGCATTTTGCTGGCCTCTTCTCTGCTGTTCACTCTAATTGCTCAGAAAACAGTGTGTACAGAGGAAACTCT